AGGTAACTTTGTTCCTCGGTGATGGTTGTTGACCTGAAGTGGTGTAGTGATGGGCCTTCTGGTCTGTAGGATGGTTCATCAGGCCCATCAAAGAACTCAATACAGCTGTCATCAGTTTCTTTCCACCACACCCCTTCTCCAGGCATTAGAAAATCAGATATGGTTTCCATATGTACATTCCAATCTCGAGCATATTCTTCAATATAGGTCTTTGGTAGGACAGTGTTTCCCATCTTTGGGAGTGAGKCTGCTATCTTAGATATTTCTCTTTCTTGTTTTTGAATAGCATTTGATTGCTTGCACTCCCTCTCTACTTGAGCATGAAGAATGGCATTCGGAGAAAGGTCCTCGATCCTCCTGCTCCAGGTCTTGGATGTGATGTCKGACAGCTTTTGGAATAGACGTTCAAACATCTCAGCATTAGTCGAGCGATGAGAAACCAGTCTAAGTAGGAAAGATGAATGAGAGACACAGCTGTGGAAATAAATGCCAAATAATTTTCTGTATGTGAGGGACTTTTGAGGAGTGAGGACCTTTCTGCATTGCATGCCTTATACAAAGGTTGAGCAGCCTCAGAATCATCTTTGGGGTTTTCTTGTGGTCTTGCATATAGAAGATTTCAACCATTTCACACAAGGTGACAAGAAGTATTTTCACGTCTCTGCTGGCCAATTTGTAAAGGGCAATTGTTACATATATTAGTGTTTTCCTATAATCAACACCTCTTAATTTATCTTTGTTTAGTTGCACAGACAGGAGTTCTTTGAGTAATATGAGAGTGTCAATGTCAGTTATATGATGCTCTAGTTTCTTTAAAAACATTCTTTATATGATTCATAGAGCAGTGGAGAGCTTCAAAGTAAAGTACTTCATAATTGTCTATGTTCAGTTGTTTTGTTGTCATACCAGACTGCAATAATGCTGGCTTTCTTACTGTTCCACCCAGGAGTTCAGCTAACTCCTTTTGGAACTCATCTTTATTTCCTTGTGGGTCCACACCTCTAGCCTCCAGTTCCTCTCGAATCTTTGCAACTGTTAGGTCTTTGAAAGGATGTAGCAGGTCACTTTTACCTGCTGAACCTGCTTCAACAACCTCTCTCTTTTCCTGCAATGACTTATATTTCCTATGCAGCATGTACTCAAGGTCAAATGATGAGTTGATGTTTCCATCACATCCAACACATGGGTAGTGCCCTCCATGCTGTTTGCCATCTTCAAATTGTATCGCAGGATTATCCCCATTCATGAATCTCATTACATCATTTATTGGTACACCAGTCTCAGTCATGACTTTGTTTGTGAGGTCTTTCCGATCTTCTTGGCGAGTTGGGATAAACTTCATCTGATTTTCAATAGAAGAACTACTTGGACCCAGAATATATATTAAAGGATCCTCAATTGTAGCTTGAACATCAATTGCTTCATCAATTGCGAGATTTTAATGTCAAGTGGAGGTAGGTTTAATAGAGTCTGATAAAGTATAAGTTAAAGCTTATTCTTCTATGCACTTATAACAAGCTGAGTTTATGCAATTGTTGCTTGTATTGTCAATAGTAAGAGAACACTTCGAAGGTGTAAAAGAACTAGTTACTTGAGAAGAAGTCGTAAACAGACGTGATATTGAAGAGGAATGACTCGTACAACTTAGTTAG